TACACTCTAGGGTCTATTGTGTTCAGGTGTGTTAACGCTATGGGTTCTCTTTTGAATTTTCTAGCTCATAGCCCATTAACCTAATCTACAAATAAAAAGAAAGCAAAAATAAAAACTACCTACACCGGTTCAAGTTAAACCCTTGGAAAAGAACCGTGGCATAAAGAAAAATCAAGGGGGAGTTGCTACACTACCTAAGAAAAAAATAAAAATCTTTTTGGTGTTTTTCCTAGACTAACTTCCCTCAAGAAAATCGTCTAAAAGATCCGTCATCAGGAAGATCCTACAATTTTTTCAATTTTTTTTTTCTCGACTTAGTCACTCAAGAACCCCGTTGAAAGGGATCCGTCGTCGGGACGAGCCATTTATCTATTTTAACTAATGATTCCTACTTAATGCTAAACTAACAAAATCAAACTAAACAAAACAAAAACAACATTCAGATAATACATCTACAAACATACAACGAAGTACCCCCCACCCCACACTTAAAGATAAAGACATGTCCCCATGGCTTAAAATGGAAAAATAGTGAAGTAAGGGGACTTCCCTGAGGGGTCACTCCTGATCGAAGACGGTGTCTGGGTTGACGTGGCACGCCCGCCCCAACGCTCTCAACCAGCCCATGATTTTCTTTTCTGACTTCTGTTGTCGGTCATCCATTGCATCTACCCGAGTGCGCAAACCCGCCATCTCCTGCTCCAAAGCAGTAAGACGGGACACCCGGGCGGCTCCTGAAGATGTTGCAGTCCCAGATGGCCCTGCAACTTGCACATTCTGCTCTTGAGCCTGTGGTGCAGCTTCCACATTTTCTTCAGCAGCCTCCTCATCATCAGCTTCATCAGAACTACTCCTCTCCGCCACTACCTCCGGCTCCTTACCCGTTGTCACCTTATCAGCACGGAACCTGCCCTCCTTTCTTACCAATCCATCCACAGCGAGGTTTTCGGGCACCTGAGCAGCCCTGCACAGTTGAGTCACTAAGGAAGGGAAAAAGAACCCATACCTTTTGATTTGGCTGCGGATGAATATCTCATCATGTATCACCTGGGCCACATCGACGTCATAACCATTGACAAAACACCAGATCAAGGACGCACGGGGCCCATTCACCTCTGTCGTATTGTGCGACGGGAGCAAGCGGTTGTTAATCCCTACAAGAACTGTCACCGGGTGGAGAATTTGCATTGACTATAGAAAATTGAACAATGCCACCCGGAAGGACCACTTTCCCCTCCCCTTTATTGACCAAATGCTTGATAGATTAGCTGGCCAGGAGTACTACTGCTTCTTGGATGGTTACTCTGGGTATAATCAGACTTCTATAGCCCTAGAGGACCAAGAGAAGACCACTTTTACGTGTCCTTATGGCACGTATGCGTTCAAGAGAATGCCCTTTGGTCTTTGTAATGCACCTGCGAATTTTCAAAGGTGCATGATGGCCATTTTTACTGACATGGTCGAGAGGTTTGTGGAAGTATTCATGGATGATTTTTTTGTGTTTGGATGTTCGTTTGATAACTGCTTAATGAATCTTGATAAAGTGCTTGCTAGGTGTGAAGAGACTAACTTGGTGCTAAACTAGGAAAAGTGCCACTTCATGGTACGCGAAGGTATAGTTTTGGGGCACAAGGTGTCCAAAGATGGTTTGCAGGTGGACAAGGCAAAGGTGGAAGCGATTGAAAAATTGCCTCCACCGATATCTGTCCTGGTTTTCAATCAACAACTTCTTTAGTAAATCATTTGTGCTCTCTTCCATTTGTTGGGGTGGTCTTTGAGGCTGATTGAAACCCCCTTGGGGTCGATACTGATTCTGACTCTGCTGATTTCCACCCCATGAGAAGTTGGGATGATTCCTCCAATTTGGATTGTAAGAATTCCCGTATTGTGCATGTTGGTTCGGTGGACCCCTATTTTGTTGCCCCACATAATAGATGGATTCTGGATTCGTGGGGCACATATCACTCATATGACTGTCACCACACAGTTTGCAGCAAATAGTCATCTGTTGTACCTGTTGCATTGGCTGTGGCTGCTGCATTGTCATCCTCGTCATCTGGTTGGCCAGCTTTGCAATTTCGGCTCTCATTGCTGACACCTCATCGAGCTCAAGTAACCCAGCTGATTTTTGCTTAACTGCCTTTCGTGAGTCACCATCACCTTGCCAGTTATTATCATTAGCAGTGAAGGTATTCAGCAAGAGTTGGATTTCACTGTACGGTTTGGCCATGCAACTACCCCCACAAGCTGAATCGAGATTCATCTTTGAAGCATCATCTAGCCCATCTACAAAAGTGTGACCCAATACCTCGTCCGTCTGGCAATGGTGAGGACAATCTCTGAGCAACTTCTTGTACCTTTCCCATGCTTGACGAAGTGTCTCGCTAGCTCGTTGTTCGAACCCAAGAATTTGACTCCTCAACATCTTTGTTTTCTTGGTGGGGAAAAACTTGATTAAGAATTTCCTTGCCACATCATCCCAAGTGCGGATTGAATTAGCTGGCTCCTTATTCAACCACTCCTTAGCTTCCCCGATCAGAGAAAAGGGGAAAAGTGTCAGCCTGACATAGTCCTTGGAAACATTCGGATAGTTGTAAGTATCCGTAATTTCCAGAAAATTCTGAATATGCCTCTGTGGGTCTTCATAAGGTAGGCCTACAAATTGCCCTGTGGACTAGATCAACTGCACCATGTATTGTTTCAGCTCAAAGTGCCCAGTGATATCAGGCTTCACGATAGCCTGAGTCATATTAGCCAGACTGGGCCTTGCGGCTTCAATCGCCGCGCGTTCCTCATTACCTGCCATCTCAATTGGCTGTGGTTGAACTACGATGTCCAACTCTCTTTCAATTCTGGTTCTGGCGTCCACCTCCCTCCTCAATCTGTGAAGTGTTCGTTCAATTTCGGGATCGAGAGGAAGGAGATTGTTTGCGCTTCTACTTCTTCGCATTCAATAGAAAATCCTGTATTAGCACAAATAAAGTGAACTGAAAGTTAAAACTCGAATAAATAATTAATAAAAGCTCAATACAGTCAAGTAGCCAATTTCTAAGTCCCCGGCAACGGCGCCAAAAACTTGATGCGACCAAAAATACTCATGCAAGTGCACGTGGTCGTCAAGTAATAGAGTAGTGAGTAGAGTATCGTTCCCACGAAGACTTATGATTAACTGTTGACTGATTCAACTCAATTACTTTATTTATCCAAGAGGTTTTTCACAAAATCGAGATGTAATTGTTTTACTACCTAACTATCAAGAAATAATCTAACTAGAGCAATTAACCAAACGAATAGCAAGTTCAAGTAACAAACAGTAAGAGAAGATATTCCAGGGTCACAGGCTAGTTAACAATCGTGTTGTGTTCTTGGCTTAACACGGCTAATTGATCTATCTGGATTGTTGATTGACAGGGTTTATATTACTCATAAGAATCTATCGAGTTCTTACTCGCCTATTCAAGCTAACTCAATGCCTATATGTCTATGGAATTAAGATTAACAAGAACGCATTTACAATTCCTGTATTCCAACCAAGCAAGGCAATTGGGTATATGTCTATCCCAATTGCGAATCCGTTCCCCGAGGCCCGGGTTCAAGAACTTGCTTTATTTAATTCTATATGCAATCTAAAGTTCCCACTTTCGAGTTCAACTCTAGATTCATAGATAGTATTTCACTGTTAGCTACTCAGCAAAATAATTAAAATCAGAATTAAATAAACAATCCAATATGACAAACCAACTTCGTCGAATTAAACGTCAAACAACAACTTTCATGTTTCACCCATGGCCCCAGAATAATGGGTTTTAGCTACTCATACTAATATTTAACACAATAGGGTTCAATTTCATCACAAATAGCAAAAATAGAGAGAAGAAAACAAGAACTTGATGGTCAAATCTCCTCCTTGCCTCTTGCCTCTTGATACCTTGCACTAGCCTATGAAAAACTTGATAAATTAACCTTGGGCGAGCTTGAGTTTATATAGGTCAAGTGAGGTTTCCTCCAGATTTCCAATTTTGCCCCTAAATAATCCTTCCCGGAAATTGGACTAGCGCGGCCGCGCACCTGGGCGCGCATCTGACCGCGCTAGTTGGTAAACATTCTGTCTTTGGGCGCGCTACTTTTAGCGCGGGCGCGCACCTGGGCGCGCTAGCCCAGGTCTTCCAACTTTTGATTTTCTTCCTCGTCTTCGTGCGTACTCAGCTCCGAGGGGTCGTTTTTGCTCTAAAATCGTTCCAATCACATTCCTAATGCCTCACATAGGCTCCTCGTCCTGCAATATGTAAAAATCACAATTAGAGCCCATTTTTAATCAATTAACCACATTATAACATCGGAACATAATCAAGTGGGAGCATAAACAATCGCTAAATCACCTATATTCAGCCTATTATCATGGATTAATTAATTTTCTTATCGGGTAAACCGTTAACCCGTTAAGAATTTTTATATTTACACTTTTACTCTATGTATATAAAATACTATTGAAATCCTAAATGACTAAATTCCTAATTTCTATTTTCTAATTCTCAATTGTCTGCAGCCACCAGAGGAGAGAAGTCGTCTGTCTCGTCTCTCTGAACTGAGAATTGAGAAGTCGAAAAATCGAAATCTGAATGATTAATACGTGTATGTCTGTATGAGTAGTCTTGATGGTATTAAAAATTTGGTTAACACGTATATGACAGTATGAGTAGTCTTGAAGACTTTTCAATTCAAAAATAACATTTGGTTAGATCTTAGATGGTATTAAAAGATTTGAAACTGTTTGGTATTGATTAAATGATTGTTCAAAAAATTTCTATTTAGTTTAGTCAATAAGCTGCCCGATAACTGTTAATCCGATATCAATCCGCCCGTTATCTTATTGGATGGCTAGTGGATTACTACATATATAATCGATAACTATTAAGTATTAAACCAAATTATCCGCCCATAAGCACCCTGGTACTTAACATGTTAAAAAGTGAAATTGCTTGTGTGGGGTGGGGTTGGGTGGGGTGGGGGGTTTCATCACTCAGTTGGCAAGATTGAACTTTTGCATTGTAGTTTTCGTCAGCAGAGGAAAATGGAAGGCGGTGCTCTTCTGAGAACTCTAAATCCTTTCAAAATCAGAGCCAAGTTTTATGGGGCCTTCACTGTTCGATGCTCTTCCTTTTCTTCCGGTTCGTTATAATGGTTCATTTCTCTTTCTTTTTATGCTTTAATTCCCAATACACTTAGAAAATGCATATGTTTATACCAATTTCGCATCAATTAACTGAGTGTGCAGTGAATAGTGTAATTATAAGGTTGAATTTTGTTGGTGGGGGCAGGGAAAGAAATGGGGAAGAGAGCATACGATGGACTGCTTTTGGATGCAGCAAATACACTTTTGCAATTGACAAATCCAGTTGAAGAGACTTATGCTTCCATTGGCAAGAAATACGGTTTGTTGGTTCCTTCCTTTTTCTATTGTATTCCATCTCCCCAAACACCAAATGAAGAATATGTGTGTGTGTGTGTGTGGTTTAAGGTTAGCGTTGAGCTGTTCTGAATTTATGAATTCTGACTTATTTTTTATAGCTCAAGCTCAAATTCAGAAGTGCATGTGCTGCATTTTTCTTGAGACTATTTATTGCAGTTTGTACTTGCTTAAACTGCAACTAGCCATGATAATACAACTCTAAGAGGTTTAAGGAAACTTCTATTACTAGGTTCTATGCTGCTAGAAGAGGAGATATATTTTTACTGTAGCTATCTTTATATCCAATTAATATTTTAGCAGAGCCTGGCTTGGCATTTAGCCCGGGGCGGATGCACATTTATCGAAGCGGTATTACTTGACACCGCTTTGTCGATTTTTTTTACTAAATATATGTATTAATACAGTGAGGAAGCGCATAAATAAGATAAAATGACACCACTTGACATAAATTGTCTCTTGGCGCATTGATTATGTGCTTGATTTTGCTCTTGGAGGTGAGAGGTTCAAACTTCAACTAGCACATCTTTTTTGCAAATATTTGAGAGAATCTATGTGGTTAAAAATTGTGATGAAGTAAAATTTAATTCAGGACTTTTTCTAACTTAAGACTCAACAAAACCAATAGACTAAAGCTATTTCTTGTCTAGTAGTATGATAATTAACGTATTCTTTTATAAATTTCGACACCGCTTACAAAAATTACTGCGTACGCCCCTGCATTTAGCTAAATATCAACTATACGCTAATTGATCAAGCAACTAGTACTTGGAATTCACTAGTAGTATCTAGATGAAGTCCTATTTTTGGTGTAGCATAAAACAACAGAAACTGCAGGAACCAGCTTTAGAATAGTTACTTCTGATAAGAAGTGAGGCTTAAATGTGTGATTTCAGCCCTTTCTTCAAGCAAACATTGTCAACTAGTGCAGAAAAAGGTTGAGAGCAGACTACTATGTCTATTTTTCTTCCGAGAGATTGCTAAAGTATTTTATCCAATTATAGGGCTGATAACTACTCCAGCTGAAATAAAGCAAGGTTTCAAAAGAGCTTTTGCTGCTCCATGGCCAGAAAAGCTACGTTATCAGGTCATTATGCCAATGTCACTCCATTGTGTTTCATGCTCGTTTGTCACATGGAAAACCAGCATATATTTTAGCTGGTCTTATCTTTTTATCTCAAAACTAAACTTTAATTTTATATTCTCGTGTTAGATATGTTTTGTTCTTGGTGATACCCCTCTTGGGGTGGGGTTGGAGGTTGGGGGGTGGAGATGAGGGCCTTCCTCTCGCTGATCTCCCCCCATGCAAATATTAGCAACCCATTTCAGCTTGTAATGAATTGATTCTTCCATATAGCATTCTAGAAATAATTAGCCAAAGAAAGTGATAATTAGGAAATCAAGTAATTTGACATTTTCACAGAGGACCTTAAATACGAAAATTATTCAGGTATCCTTACAAAGATGAATGAATTCTTGGTATACTACTTATTTATGGAAAATGTCCTGTTGATATGTACTTTATAAGTGTGTTCTGCATATTCTGTATGAGCAGGGTGACCTATTGAGTGAATTATTTGGTATTTCTTTTTGAAGCAAAAAAGTTGTGGCCATTGAACCTCCATTGTCTCTCACTCATTCAGAAAATTCTAGTTGAATGTCCAGCCACTAAAGTATTAAAAGATACCTAAAATTGTCGGTTAAAAAGTTCATATTTTCATCACAGATTACTGTTCCTTTGGCAATATCAATCAACTGAAGATTAAGTACAATTGACAGGATGATGGCCGACCTTTCTGGAAGCTTGTCGTTGCTGAAGCAACTGGTTGTAGAGATGATACTTACTTTGAAGAAGTATACCAGGTCATTTTATAAAACATATTATATAAATCGGAAGTTATCAATGACTGCTTTAGCTGAAGTTTTTGCTTTCACCAGCACTATGCAAGTGGTGAGGCGTGGCATCTTCCAGCTGGAGCCTATGACACCATATCAATTCTGAAACGTTCCGGAGGTCATCATGTATCTGCATTACTTTGCTTCTGATATAGATTTACTTATTGAACATTTCTCCCAATCCTTTCGTTTCTGAAGTACTGGACTTTGGACAGTCAAGCTGGCCGTAGTTTCCAACTTTGACACCCGGTTGACGAAGATATTGAAAGAGCTGAATGTGTTGGATCTGTAAGCATCAATACCTTCTTATACTTTTGCTCCTTGTTAAATAACGGTCTGAGTTTGAACTACTTTATGTCGGTAGTCAATTATATTACTTAGTTATGAATGCCAATAACTCATTTCAAATGCTTTTAAATTTTAGCCTTGAAAGAGTTGGAAAATGTTTTATAAATTTAAACCGATAAAGTTACAGAGCATTCTCATCTGTATGAAATGGCAGGGTCGACTCCTGCTTGAAATTTAGAAGTTGTTTCATTTATATGTTCTTTTGTGTTCTCTATCCATAGATTTGATGCTGTCATCATATCTTCAGAGGTTGGATATGAAAAACCAGATATAAGGATATTCAGAGCTGCTCTAGGTATGTGCATCAAAAACTAATATATCTTCAATAGCATGATGATAGAAGGCGTCTCTACTTTAGTTTTGTTTCTTTCTTTTCTGCGTTTGTTTAACTTTTTAATTGACTTTTTAACATCTCTCTTGTTCTGGTATGACCCTGAATTAGGCTTATCAAAACTATAATTTGATATTAACACATTTGTCAAATACACCTGAAATAGGCTATAAAAAAATTGACCTTATCATGTTTTGCGGTGTTGTAGATCAGATCTGTGTAGAAGCAATAAAAACTGTTCACGTTGGAGATGATGAAAAAGCTGACAAAGGAGGAGCAAATGCTGCTGGAATTGACTGCTGGTAATTTTTGAATGCCTTGCTTTATTCAAAATTTCACAATTTCTATAGCTAATATCTTGCGCGAAGAAAAAAGAAAGAGAAGAAACTAGTTTTAATGCTGTAGTTGCTGCATCAAAACCATCATTTTAACTGTTAAAATGATAATTGGTATTCAACAGCTAAAAGGTAGATAATTTATTACGAACATAATGATCACCCACAAGAAACAATATTTTGATGCTTCCCTCTACAAGTAATACTTGATTGTATTCAAGTTATATCTGCAGTTATGGAAACATCAGTGAGATATTAGTGACATTTATTAATAGGAGATACTGTTGAATACCAATTATCAGGAAAAGCATTTAAAGAAAGTCTTCTGCTACTTTTTACCAATCATACAGAGACTGCGACCTTGTCATCTGGTTAAGAAATTTTCATTCACAAAATTATGCCTTTCAGGCTATGGGGTGTAGACGTGAAGTCATTTGTAGATATACAGAACCGCATTCTCACAATGGCATAGTTTTTTGGTTAGCGGCTCTGTCATTTGGATGGTAAGTGAAAGAACCTCTATTCCTTTTTCCTTTCATTTCCTTGTAAAACGGTATCTCTTCTTAATAAATGTCACTAATATCTCACTGTTGTTTTAATAACTGGCAGATAGAACTAGACTACAATCAATTATTACTTGTAGACGGAAGCATCAAAAGATTGCTGTTTGTGATCATTATATTCTTCATCAATCATCCATCTTTCAATTCCAAAGTATAAAGTTAAGCTGCAGCGGCTTTTAATAAGCTTCATGCTCGGAGTTCTGCATAGTGATTCAGTAATCAGCTGCATTCCATTATAATAATAAAACCCCATATGAGATGCTACTTCCTCCAGATCTCCACAAAGGCAGAGGGCAAGATTATTCAAAAATGTATCCCTTTGACGAAATGATTCACTAATCAATCTGAAAAGTCACCCCAATATTAGTTCGTTTGGAATTTCACAGCTCTGCATAGCCTATTTTGGCTCAACTTCTCTCCCTACAAAACTTGAGATAATAATCAAATTTGCTTTGATCTAATATTCCAAAGCTAGTATGAAACTATTCTGTTTTAGTTTTACAAGGTTGATGTTTGGTTGTTGTCTGGCTAAATTTGTGTGCAATTCAGGATTCATTCAATCCTAGTTTGGCAAATCAAGTTCTATTATTTACTAGTACCATTGACAAACATGAAGTAGCTAATCTACTATTAGGCCTCCTTTACAAGTCATGTGGAAGCACTCCTCAACTTGTGTTTGCATATCTAGTAGAAAGCCAGGGATGAAGTCACATAAAGAATGAGAAGTCTGTCTTAGTTAGTTGATAATACAAGAGTTCAAGTTCAGTGTGCTGGCGGCGTAAAAACTATTGATAAACATTTTATTTAATAGTTGGTTCTTAAGTTGTTCCACATTGGTCTTTTTATATGGTTTTGGGCAACTCTCTATCCTTAGGAGTTTGAGTTGATCCATGATTCATTTTAATATTTAGGTCCAATGTCCATTTTTTCACATTAGTATAATGCAATTAACCTGCCGTTACAGGTTAAACTATGTTGATAGCCTAACTCTTTTTACGCATATAACTAAATTCTATTTTTACCTTCCTATACCACATATGAAACCTTATTACCCTCAATGTTTAAGGTTTGAGTTAATTACGTTTCAGCATACCAAATTATCATTTATATACCATAATTCAAATCAGGGATATAATTAAGGGTGCATTTATATTAGGCATAATTATAGGACCGTATATTCCCACTTTCTCTTTCCTTTCATCTCAACTAAAATACAAATTCAAAATCTGAATTTATATTAGGCTAACCAGAATACACTCATTGAAGCTGAACCCTCGAGTGGATTTTTATGAACAATATTCAATCTTTTTCTTTCGATTAGAGCTGCAACGATCATAGTAGAAACAGAGTAGATCATTCCAATACCGATCCTTTGGAGAATACTAATGCCTCTTTCGTTTCCTGTTGCCCGTCTTAGGACAGGTACGAGGATTTTCTCATAGATAGTGACAGATATTATCATGCCAACAACTGCTAAGGCAAAAATTGAAGCAGGGGGAATCTCAAAATTGTGAATGATTTTCCGGTTCAGTTGCACGGCTTGTTTGATGAAAAATGTTGCTGCTTGTGCTACACAAATACCAAATGGTATAGTGGTTAGCCAAATGGGAGTAGTGTTGATCACTAGCTTCAATTCTTCTACATTGGTCACGGTTGTAAGTTTCCAAGGATTCTGCTGCTGCTGCTGTGATTATACCCGCTGACCACATTAATCTACAATTCATCTACAGAAAATAATGCATCTACAATTAGAATACAAATAATCTACAATTCATCTACAAAATATCTACAAACTGGGTATATTAAATTTTAATATCCCAATTCCCATTCGATTGTAGTTTAATTGGGATTTTCGACATAATTGTAGAAGATTTGTAGAAGTTTTAGTCTTCCCAATCTACAATTTATCTACAATTCTACAATTTATCTACAATTTCTGGAAATATGTCTTCTTCTTCTTCTTCTTCTTCGAGTTTCAATCTGAAATTCAGTCAAAACCAAGTCTAATCTTCACCAAAACTCCTCAAAATTGAGATATAAACTCCAAATCATATTTCCGATTATTTTCAACAACACCCAATCCAAACAAATAATGATTTTTGAAAACCCAAATTTGAGTTCAAAGCTTTCAAGCTTTTTAATGGCTATCAATGGTGGAAAATATATGGAAGAACAGATGAAGATGAAGTTGAAGAACAGAAATCTCCTTTCCGTTTCAAAATTACGCAGCTTTCAGATCTCCTTTACGTTTCAAATTTCGAATTTAATTTGGAATAAATCAATCCCAGATTTTGTGGCTGATTTTTCGCGCACAATAAATGGCAGATTCTGCCTAATAAATGATTGGTATATAAATTGTAGTTAAAGTGTGGACTGGGCGGGTAATATACAAACTATGCACATTTTTGGTAATAAGGTTTCAAATATGGTATAGTTAGGAAAAAATCCCTTCTATAAAATAACTAAATTCGTAGCCTCCCCTATCCTGTGAGACCGATCGCAATGAGTTTTTGGAGCCCCTTGCCTTTTAAGTATAGCCAAAATCCAGACATACATCAAATTTGGGACTTTAAGTTCTCGAGTAGATTCAGAGACGGATCTAGGAATTTGGGAGGATGGGTGCACTATTACGAAGCGGTGGATCCAGAATATAAATTTTAGGGATTCAACTTTTAGTTCTACTATTGCATCCATTATACTTTTGAAATTATAAGTTCAAATTTAATATTTATATATTAATTTTCTTACATCTATATCTGTATTCTTTACTCCCTATCGAAAATGTTAAAAATATATAACATTACTATACATGATTTAGGGATTGGGCATGGGTTCACGTGCCCCATGGAACCCCCCTAGATACGCCCGAGTAGATTGTCCATGAAAAAGAGCTTACGGAAAAAGTAGGGATATGGTAATGAACAAAACAAGAGAAGTGAGACATCTTTTGAAGAACTTTTGTAATGGCAAAAGAGAATCTGAGTTTACCAACGAAATAATATTATGAATGTTACTGTTAATACACAGACTCCTCCAAAGAAAAAAAGTATACTTGCATTCTGTTGCTTCCATATGGTCTCATTTTTTTTTTCTTTCAAGCCCAAAACATATACTCCCTCTATTTAAATTTATGTGGCATAGTTTGATTGGTAGAAACTTACGACAGAAAAAAGGACTTCCGAAACTTATGTTTTTAAATATGCCATGAAATTTCTGCGGCAATGAAAGCATTCTATTAAGAATAAAATAATAAAAGGCTTAAAGTTAATTGTTCCCAAACATACAAATAAATAGTGCCACATTAAACGGAATAGAGGGAGTAAAAATTCACATATTTTCTCTACGCGAAACCAGATAACCAATAACAAAAGAGCAGTGCTAGCTTATACCAAAGGAAAACATGAAGTTTAACAAAGGCCTGCACTAACAACTCAACCGAGACTAACCATGGCAGTTTAGCTCATAACATGGAGTTTTTTAGTGAGCGTTACGATACTTGTATCTTTCTCTCAGAGCAAATGCATATGCATGTAGCCAGCAGAAACAACTGCATTCATTGAAACTCAATTACTGCTGTAGATACTAAAAGACAGTAGGGAAAAGTTCCACTAAATCATATCAATTCTACCGAAGAAACTTAAGAAAGTCACTAATTATGACTTGCTCAAGTTCTACAAGACAAATACCCGTGAGACCATTTCTTATGCAAGGTAGCGATACAATCGTCTATCTGTATTATCCCTTTCCAAGAAATCTCTCTCGATAAGTGACTCAATCCGTTTCTTGATTTCCCCTGGATTTGCCAGGAAACGTGATTGCAATTGCTTTGTAACTTCAGTGATGATGTTGTTGTGATCTAATACCTTCCTGGATTTCATGATCCTCACAATAGCAGCTTCAATCTGGGGCTTTCTATCCTCTTCCACCCTTTGACGTGTCTCCTGCTTTTCAGGCTCGGATTCCTTCTGTGCAACTACAGTTCCTATCTTGACCTTGTAAAATTTGCTCGTAAATTTGTCATTGACAAGAAAGGCGTCGTCCTCCCCGATATCTTTACTCATGGGTTCTTTCCGGAGGACGTTCTTTCCCTTAACACATGCTAGGGACTGCAAGCACCTTTTCAAATCAGACGAAGGGATCTCAGTGGCCTGTTCAATCTCTTTGTACATTAGCCGATCAGCATTATTGAAAAGCATGAGGACACACATTTGGTAAGTAGAGACATTGAGCTCATGCTTCTGGCCCTTCCCAAATGTCGCTTTCAGATCAGCTGTGCCCATGTTTGTTTGCCAGGATAATCTTCGACCAGTGTGGGTCCCAAGGTATAACGACCGAAATTTCTCACACAGGGCTGACAATTCAGCTGGCAAATTGCATGTGATACTAGGTTGAGTAGGCCAAGATCCAGTCGTTAGAACCTGGACAACCAATGAGGGGCCATCACCCAATTCAGCACCATATGCTGCATGGAATCCTTGCATTGTGTCCTGAGAAGTTTTCATGTCGGTAAACATGCCCTCTAATTTGGAAGTGAACTGATAACCACATTCTGTCTTCAGCTTAACAATCAGACTTCTTTCAGCATCATCGGAAACTGTTTTTCCTGAAAGCAGTCGCTTTGCCAAGTGCTGTTTATAATACTTCTCAAACACATCTTTTTCTTGCAAGTAACGGAAGAGCATCATCACCTTGTCGAGAATAACTTCAACATCTTCCTCACTGACTCCTTTAAGGCCTTTTCGCAATTTTTCATCCACAAACAATGATATAAACTCGGGAGAACGGGGATTGAGGTTAATGAAGAATTCAAAAGATGAGTTTAAGGCATTTTGGAAAGTCTTGTCGTTGTTGAATGCCAAGATTATTACATTATCATATTTATCCTTCTCATTCAAGAGACACTGGACAAATTCGACAGGATCTTTCAGCTTCTCAGGATCAGTAACAAGCTGTTTTCCAATCTCTCTGATGTGAGAAGTCATTACATCTCTTATTGTTGCAAGACCATTAGGAACTCTACGAAATAAGTTGTACATTCTTCTCAAATCCTCATATTTATCATCAAGAAGCATATTCACCATACCTGAATTTTCCATATGGACAAGCCTAGGAATATGGTTTTCAATCATCTCTTTCTCCACAACATTAGTGAGCTTAGCTTCAGTCTTTGGATCCAAGTAGTGTGACACCCTCTCTATTTCCTCATTTAAACGTTTTTCAGCTTTCTTGAGGTAGTCTCCACAGTCGCAACATTCAATGAACCTCTGAGACTCGGCCCTGTAAAAATCAGCTGATACTTCAAGAAAAGGTTTTTCAAAGTCTTCCTGGTACACGGATGGTCCTAAATCCATTAGCATCTTAATTATATTTCTCATCAGTCCCCGGTTAATTACTTCCCCATCCCGTTCTTTGAGTATCAGTCCAAGAAGCGTACTCAGAAGTCTCATCTGAATCTTATTCGCATGTATTATGTTATCCCGCCAAAGATTCAGCCCAAGCTCATGAATAGGGATCTTATGGGTACTTGGAACGAAGGTCCTGTCCATGTACATCAGAATATCCCGTATCATTTGCAATGCCTTATTATGATCTGCCCATTGCCTATTCAGCTCTTCCAAGAATAAATCACCTTGGGCTGACTCTATGCATTTAGAGATCTCTTGTAGGTGGAAGGTAATTGTAGATACAAGTCCAGAATATAGCTTCTCACCAAATTTGTGTAATACCATATTATAAGCATTTCTGCATTGACAGAAGATATCCCAACATCAAGAATAGTATATTCAAGCATACAAAAACAAAGAGAGGAACTAAACAGTGTCGGAAACGAAAATGAAGAAAACGAGCAGGATGCAGCAAAGAAAGAGATCATTAAGATTGTAAAGGTTCATTACATGTCAATAACGACAAATACATAGACTAAACAGAGAGACAATGACAGGATATGGTAAGTGTTAAAAATTGGGCATTAAGAAATTCTACATCACCCTACGACATCTCAGAACTTCAGTCCAGAAGGAAGAATGAGGTGAGCAGTAAGAAGTTTGCACACGCCTCTGCTTGCCTCATGATTTCTCCATGAACAGAACCAACAGTCTTCCTCTTTCTTTACCCTAAAGTAACAAACTCCATAACCTCCAGTTTAAATATCTATCCAAATCACAGAACAAAGAAAGACAATGGAGCTGTGAATCACTGAACTTGCGCCCACTCGGAATGCATCTCTTCTGACAAGTTACTTCTACTCTAGGCATTGCTCCTACCAGATTTTGAATTCTAAAGTCGTGTAGCTTTTTGAGAGTCCTTTTTTACAAAAGCCTTTTGAGAAAGAGTCTAAAAATTAGATGCTGTGATTAATTGATAACCTGTTTGGACAATTTTTTTATATAAGGTGTTTGGACAATATTTTGTTGAAGTTGAAAAATGAGCATTTGAAGTTGAAGTTGAAGTTGAAAAAAGAGTATTTAGAAGTTGTTGTGTTCGGACATGAGTTTCACGTGGGAAAATGTAGAGGTTTCGTAGGTTAAAACCATTGTTTCACTTGAAATACTCCTTAAACGAGTTTTTCAACTTCAAATTCTCTATTTCATGTTGGAGCTGAAATAATGGACAAAATTGTAAAACAAACATTGATTTGCAAACAAAATTTCAGTGTTTGCAAATAATATGTATGTCTAAGTGCCCACTAAACCCATAAGAAATTTCCTTACTACCTCTTCTAGTAATACACATTGAATAACCTTTACAACTCTGATATTTTTTTTTCGTGGTGTCCGAGCCAGCTTGTGCACACTTCCTTCCCACTCCGATATTGTATATGGATTGTGAAGTTTTCCCCTTTTTTTCATAAGTAGCAGATGGATTGTGAGCTTAAGATCATGATACTTTAGTATCCTAAACTCCAAGCCCAATTGGTCTCATTCTAGGGACTAGTATACACTTAAATAAAATTTGATGAACCAAACGATTTTTAATCTTGTTTGGTATGCCAACTTAATGGAATTTGAATGAAATGAAAATAGTATAAATGGCTGAAATGCAAAAACTGCAAACCCTTTATATAGAAGAGGAATAGGCTGCGTACGATGTGGAGAGGAATAGATATAGGGAATGGATGGGGGATTTGTCGATGGTTATTTGGTAGGGATTCCGAGCAAAGAGTTAATGGAAAGACTGAGATAGAAAGGTCATGTCATAGTCTATTCCTGATTCCATCCTTTAATGGATTGAAGACTCTCCCCACTAGACAAAGGGATGAAAACTTCCTGTTTCCGCAAAATAGATTGGATCCTGAAATCGCAACTACTGAATCAAGGGTACTAATCATTTAGCTAATCATAGAAATGGAATTAAACAATGGAATCATATTTTATCTTGTGATCATTGGCTACTAAACAAGTTGTAGGATCATAACTTTTCCCCCCAAAATACAATATATTCTAAAGCACTTACCTGCTACCGTTGAGCAGTAATCAAACTTCTTTTCGCTTTTGAGTTTCTAAATCTAGGTACCTCACATGTAAGCAAAAGATCCATATAAGCTACTTACCTAGGTGCAGTGCTTGTCAAGATTAGGGTTAACGCCTTAACGGTGAGATATAGTACAGTGTTTTTTAAGCGAAAAGCACAACAAAAGACAAGGTCCATCAGGCTAGAAGTTAAAAGTGTGAAGTAACTTCTTTCAAGTGAAGCGTGCAACTTACAGAAAACTAAAAGAATACCAAACATATGAATTCAGTACTATAATAAACTTGCAATTAAAATACTCCCTGCATTTCAATCTATGTGCCTTACTTTCCTTCTAAGTTTGTTTCAAAAGGAATGTCATCTTTCTATATTTAGTAAGTTTTTAATTCCAACATTCCCATTTTACTTTTAGTGATACTCCATTATATGAATGACATGGCATGTTTAGAACAATAAGATTCAAAGGGTATTTTTGGTATATTTTTTATGAAGGGGAATTTTATAGATGGCATCCACAAGATGCAAGAAGTACAAAAGAGAGTACATAAAGGACAGTCAGCTATGAACAAAAAAGAGCTAAGCAAGAGCTAAAGAGCTGACAAAATCAAAAAAGTTAATAGGACAACCATTAGGAGCTAAATTGTGCCAACTATACAACCATAGAAGATATCTAGCCTTCGCATCAAAGCCCCCCCAAAAAAAGAGAGGATATTTTTGGTATATTATACAAATTTTAGTTTAAAACCACAAGATTTAAAATTTTCTTTACATTCTTACATCTTCGTGCCAAGTCAAAGTAAGACATATAAAATGAAAAACCAAAGGGAGTAACTAATTTCAGCATTCAATTTACGACAAGGCCAATATTAATTCAACTCCTCAGACTTGAGGTTCAAAGAGCCGAGCACTTCTTATTGAGAGTGCTTTGCATGTCATCGTTTGAAGCAGACACTTCTCTAAAGCGCATGCCTTCACCCGTAAAGAGATAACCCCTCGCTTCGCATCATTTAAATTACTTTATAAGGCCAATAATTTACTAGCAAAGTAGTGTTGGAACAACTTGGACTCGATTAGAGTAGAAACCTTTCAACAACTCCTTTTTATTATCACAATCAGTCCGGGAAGTAGGTCTTTTGACAAGATGTGCATCTTGGACGAAAAGAAAACATTGAATTATACAAGCTTATTACGAAAGTTGCCAAATATCCTTCTAATCAATTTTCACATGTTAGATCTAACACAACTCAAAAGATTCAATTACTTAGGCTTCTGTATGCTCAAATTATCTTTTGAATTAAAAAGACAAATGAGAAAATTTGCTTTGGTCGAATATCAAAGATTGGGTACAGTTTTAGAATCACTTAATGGGATTAAACAATGTTAGTATATATCCATCCTTTTTTTTATTTTGATAAGGTAAAGTAGTATATATCCATCTTTATAAATATTAAATCTTAACATATTTAGATATTAAAGACACAGAATTTATTGCATAGAAATTCTTAAATTACAGTTATCACAGATAGAAATTATTTGGATACATCTCCAACATGACCTGCAGATCTTAGTGATATAATGAAGATCTACATTGGGCAAAATATTAAGAGCAAAAGATGTGTAATCAAAATGTGTTGTGAGATCTGTAGCCGTTCCTAAAAAAACTTGACTTCTTGAATAATGACATATCAACCCAAATTAAATAGAATTCCAACATCCAACTAACTAGTAAATGATATTCTATATCTGCTAAAAAACACCTCTTTCAAATGGTCCATGTGATCAAATAAAAGAAAGATGAGCACTATGAAATAACGCAAATTACTGAACCTTTAGACATGCTACAAGAATGGTAAAGAGGAAAAGATACCGTTCACCAATTTTGATTCCAAAGACTCTTAAGTACTATGAGCATAATAACTACCTACACGCCGACAACATTTCAAAGGTGACGTATTTTACGATATGACACGTGCACATACACTGTAGTATAATGGACTTGTATGCAAGAGCAGCTATTAGACACATATGCAGTGTAACGCACTACTTATTACTTAATCAAGGTTCGGTATCATACCGTGATGATGAGAGCATGAAGAGTAGATAGAAAGGTTAACAAATCCTAGATTTCATGCAATCCACGCTATCTTAAATATAGACAAGATAACAAATAACCTTTCTATTAGGGACAAGCAAAGAGCCCAAACAAAATTAGAAATAGGCAAAAAATATCCAGATACCAATCAAGAAGACAAGCAAGCATTTCCCTGTTCATAGTTTCCTCACTACCTAATAATTTAGCTCATTGCAGTCATAGGGTAAGCATTTAATATATTTTATTGCCCTATGTCTGCAACAAACTAAATTAAATGAAACTATATATTATCTCCACATTCTTGGTCTTGAATAAACTTAAGCAACTAACAAGGGAAGGAAACTGAATATGCAGACTAGGTACTAGTCCTTCTTGATTTAACTAACCCGTGCATAATAATTCAACCTGATCAGTCAACTACGGATCAACGCCAAACTAGTTGGAGTTGGCTTTTTAATTCTCTCTAACCATTCCACTCTATTCACGACTAATTTATTCCAATAGGAAAGACACTAACCTGAGGTCCACATATAGTGCTTGCCTTTGTGGGCATCCCCAACTTATCCACAAATAGAGGATTTATTATAGTAAAAAGTAATATTTATATTCTAGCAGTCAAATTAAATAACTGCCTACTTTATCAGAGATTGTGATCATCTATTCATTGTTAGATAAACATGACTACGTCTCAGTCCGAAACAAGGTAGGGTCAGTTTTATGAATCCTCACTGACCTTGTTTTTCCATTTATGTAAGCTCAACTCATGTCATCATCATACCACATGAAAATAAAAAAGAAAAACAAGTTTTATATATATAAGAAATGATTTGGACCTGTAAAGTTCTTCAAAGCTGAGTCCACTAGCATTGTGATTGTAAATCTCATGAATGGCATGCTCCAGTATTTTCCAAGTCTTGTCTGCATATTTGGGATCAACCACTACCTTGTGCTTGAATGCCTCTATCTGAAAATTCCTCTTCTTCTGATTACTACTCATCCTATATATATCAATGTGTATCTAACCCCAAGAAAATAATATAACTAAACCTAACCCCCAGAAAATAATCCGAATAAAAAATGAGGTAAAACTTTCCTTTTTCCTGAACAATAGTACTATCAAGAAGAAGAAAAAAGGCTTTTTAAAATAAAGATTGAGACTTCAAATGAATAAATTAATCTATGAAGTGAGAAAATCAAGAAAATAGCTGGATTTAGAACTGATTATTTCAACCAAAAAATTGAGATTTTATACAACCACAAGATTAAGAAATCACTTCTAACGAAAGATCAATAAAGTTAGAGACACTAAATGAACAAAATCAAAGTAAAAGTGGGAAAAAAACAAGAAAACAGATTATAAGATTCAGAACTAATGTTTTATTGAAGGTTTTTTAAAAGAAAGGGAAGCAGGAAAATGGAGGAGTAGGGTTTTGAAAGAAGAATAAAAAGAGGAAGATTTAGTGATACGTAAAAGAAATCTCACCTAATTGGGTTTAAGATTTTAGGAGGAAAACTTGAAATAGAAGAAGAGGTATCTAGATTCATATAATAATAATAATGGGCTGCACTATTTTGCTTTATATATATTCATCTCAAATTATATATTATGCACTGAAAAAGAAAATTATAACACCCCTTCATGAACTTTAAAATCTTGAACAGTAAAAATAAAATAATTGTCATTAGAACTTTTGGAATGTCAAAAATGACTCTCAATAATTTTAAATAGAAAAAAGTTGCACATTAGGATGGTATAAATTAAATATTGGTATATGTTTTTTCTTTTCTTTAATTGTAATTAAAATTCAATATCTCGTATGTTTTATGAGAATTTTTTATTCTTAAAGTATTTATATTACTATGAATAAAATGTAATGTTTCATTCTAACGTGTTGCTTGTACCATTTTAGTTATAATATTTTTATTATAACTATTAAAATTCTATATATTATTTTATAATTAACACTTAACAACTTCATTGAAGATGATATTTCTATCTTCTCCATTTACTGCATTGACGTATTTAAAAAAAATAAAAAATTTATGAAGTATGATTTTATCATCGCTCCTTAAAAACTGGATTTTCTTGGTTTGTTTTTGAAACACACATTTTTGTCTCATAAAAATTCGATTACATTAGGGAAGAAAAAAGAAAGAAGATAATGAAAATCAAATTCGTACCTATTGTTTGGAAAATTCAGATTAATTATATAGTTTTGGATGTCGACAACTTACAACAGGATCAGAGTGGCGCAGCGGAAGCGTGGTGGGCCCATAACCCACAGGTCCCAGGATCGAAACCTGGCTCTGATATTTCATAAAATTTGGCGTTCAAAGCAAGCACTGCTTGACAGTATATTTTTTCGGAAGACTTCCACTTTTTTCCCATATTTTTCCTGAGGTTCTCTAGTTCTTTCTACTAACAACATTGTACTCTTAACATGCCTGAAGATTCTTGTACTGACCGTGCTCTCTTTGGCGGCGCTATTTCTAGCACTTTCCCTCTCCGTTTCCAGGTTTTTCCTTTTCTACTTGTCTCTACATAGTACTATTATCTTTCTAAAATTACTTTTTGCCATTTGCCTTTATTTCTGCATTGTATCTGATTGTGTGCATGAAGTGAAAGTATTGAGTATGTTGTTGAATTTCACTGATTTTGCAGGATGTCAGTAATGTGCGTCAAGTTCCTGATCATCAGGTTTGTTCCCTTCTTTCTTCTTCACTTTTGGTCAAATTATACACACCCTATTTGCAATTTTATGAGTAAAAGTTTAATCTTGGATGAAATTTCTGATTTTTTTTTCTTTGTGTGTAGTGTATTTCTTCCTTTGTTTCTAGTAGTTTGTATAATGTGTTTTCTGTGTTTGTTTAAATTTTATGAGGTTGGTTGCCTTTGTTCTTGTTCACTTTTGATTAAATTAAAAAAAAAAAATTGCAGTGTTATTTATAGAAGGTTAATCTGGTAGAATTAGAGACACCCCAATTTGCAATTTTGTTGTAAAAATTTAATCTTGGAAAATTTCTGGATTTGTTTTAATTTTTCATTGTGTTTTTTCGTTTGTTCTTATAATGCTAAATTATATGAGGTTAGTTGTCTTTGTTCTTGTTTACTTTTGATTGAATTAAGAAAGGCATACTTGCAATGTGATCTATAAAAGGTTAATCTTTGGAAGAAATACTGGAATTTTTGTTTATCTTGGATAGTTTTTCATTGTTTTTTCTTCTCATCTTCTGTTCAGATTTGTTTTACTTTGATTGTTTGAATTGCAGGAGGTGTTTGTGGACCTTGGGCGCGACGAGAGTTTGATAATTGAGCTTCTGGATCTGAAGTTGGATGTAGCAGACAGTGGAAGTGCCACCTGGTTTCTTCAAGACCTTGCAAATGAACAAGATGCAGAGGGAGCTACGGTAAGCTCTTTCTTTTCGGACATCCTTTTTTTTTTCTTCTTCATTTCTGCTTTATTCCACTTTTATCGGCTTTCCGAGGTGGTGAATATCAGATATGCTTATATGAACTAATTGTAGGGACATGACGACACTCTGATGACTATCATTCTTTAATTTTGTTCGTTTGGATTGTTGTTCTTGTTTTTGTTGTTATTGCTCAAATAAATTAAAATCAGCATATATAATGGACACAAAGAATTCATATAGTCGACCCTATTAATTTGGATTGAGGCATGGTTGTTTGATTGATTCAACCAGTAGTTTAAAATTGAACTAGGAGGGACTGCAAAACTCATCGAGTTAGATGGACATTAAATTGTATCAGTTGTTTGGTATGACAACAATTGTGACCTTATAAAAAAAAACTTATCATATTGTGACTCTTGTCCTTTCTTCAAATTTCAACTACTTTGTGTTTCTCTAGTTTTATGTGTGAATTCTTATAAACTACTCAGGCATTTGGTAATCGTCGAAAACACTGATGCACAGAGGGCAGAGTGAAATGAAATTTATTTTCCTTTTCCATCAACTGGTCCTAGCAAAAGTAGGAAGAAAGCCGCTTAAGAAAAAGGCTACTACTTCCAAGGGATAGAAAGAAAGAACATCTTGGAATTGGACATAAGGATCAATATTTGTGTTGGGCCCTGCTTCCTCCTAAAGTGCTCTATGTTTTTCACAGTCCGAACGTTATCAAAAGAATACTTCGAACCTCTGTGGGCTGGTCTGTAGACCTCTTACATCTTTCTCACTTTCATACAATCCCAAATGAAGAATGCATCTTTCCCAGAGATTTAAGTTAATTATTTATCCAAATTGAACTAACCATCCAAAAGCTGCACTAAATCAGTAGAGTTCCTTCATATATTGTTGTTTAGTTCTATATTTTCATTTCCATTTCTTTCAAAATAATTTTCTGATATCAAGTTGTTTAATGTCTATTATTCTGGTATTATCTCCTTTTTTTGAGTTAACATAATTATGATTTTACTGATAACTCTCTGGGAGTTTTTCTTCAAGATTCGATAGTACCTTGCCAAATAATTGTTCTTCTATTACAATCATATAAACAGGAAATTTTTGAAAATGTGCAAAATTGAAGTGTGCATTTTCTTAAAAGCTTGCACTTCAATAATTGGTTAAACCAAATCATTTATAAGTTGTTCGGTTACTATTATATTGCTGATTCTTTGTTTGTATCTACAGATCATCGAGCAGTCAGCAGTATTTGAGGCTCCTGGATTGTGCTATAGAAACACGCCTGCTGTCATCACCACAGCTGTTGGTCAAATGGTATGTTAGTGTTATTTTAGAATTACCGAGCATTTATTGATGATCTCTCAACTTCAGTTGGTATCTTATTTTATGGATCTTCATGTGTATGACATGGTTTTTTTAAATAACAACATAAGCTGTTCTAATCTCTCATCGCAATTTAGCAAGTTCCCATGAGTTTACATACCATGTGGCTAAAGCATTGTTTATTTAATGACTATTTAGCCTCTCTAGAAACCATAATAACCTTCATTCTCTTTACAGTAAGTTGTGTAGTTTATGCTCCTGTACGGGGACGGGATTCAGAATTTGTAGTTACCTTCACAAAGTTGGTAAATCTATGTGTATAATTTTCTGAAAACTTAAACTCATGGCCTTGATGACTTGTATTTCTTTTTAGTAAGGCCTTGATGACTTATACTTGCTTTGAATACAATTTGTAGGGGGCCTGGTCCCTTTATCAGCTCAGCGAATCGTTTTTTTTTACATGTACTACATGCATTAAGTGCCTCAGCAAATACACTTGAAACTGTTTTATTGGCGAAAGAACTTGGGGATGGTGCTCTCATGTCATGTTTATGATGAAAATGTAAAATGCATATATTTCCAGAAGAGGATTTAGTTTCTAGCCAGATAGTTCCCTTTTCTTTTACTTTTAATAGGTAGTATTTTAGTAAAGCTAAAGTACTTTCTCAGTTTCTCTTCTTCATTTACAGTTGCATGAAATAATTTTCTGGAGAAATGAAAGTAGATGTAAAGATTGTTAGATCTACCAGAACACATATTTTCAACTAGGATGAGAGTCATGGACAATGCTAGCCAGTTTGTTGTAAAATGTCATAAATTGCTTTTGTTAGTTGATCAAATTTTTCATTTCATGTTGTCAATCTAATTGAGATCAACCTTATTCAATTCATAGGCCGTTTCTAAGGGAAGACAAGGTAGGGAAGCACAGAACTTGGTTAAGGTAAGTTTGTAAATTCCCTTTTCCGGCCCATACCTTCACCCGTTGTAGTTTTAACTGCAAAATGATATCTGATCGTGTCCCATTCAGGTGTACCTGGCAAACCTTCGCCTTAAGGAAGTTGGGACGGATATTCTCATAACTGCATATGAGCCTTTATTAATAAAGTAAGTGGGGAGCTAACTCGGTTTACACCTTGTTATTTAAGCTATGAAGTCAATTAGGCTTTTTGTTTAACGCTTTCATCGTTTACCTTTGTGATTGTAGCCCCTTGAGTGAGAGTGCTAGCTCAGTCGGGGCTGGCGTAGCTGTACCTGCTGCACAATCTGGAATTATGCCGATGGCTGAGGTTTTTAAACTTGCAGTCTCTAGTTTCAAAGTGCATGATTGGAGCCTCTTTGGTACTGCTACTTGAGGGTGTCGAGTGATTTAAAGAATCACGATCAGTCACACAAATGTAGCATCTCTTTGTGGATTATTGGTCCATTTTTCAACAGCATATCTGTTCTTTGTTATTCTGTTAATTGCTTAAAGAGTTCCTGTTGTAGTGGGATGTATAGAGTAGTTTGGTGCACAATTTCTACTTTATCTTTTGTTAAGGATTTTGTGTATACTGCAGTGCAGTCCATTTGCTTTCCTTGGATAAAAACAGCAGCCAATGGGATCAGATGTCTCTCGACTTCTAAATATCACATGTAACGGAGTTTCAAATTTCAAATATAACTAGAAGAAATATGAAATTAAATTTGATAAATAACTTGAGAATCGTTGAATTAACAATGAGTTAGGTCTGTACTATTATAAAGGCGCGAACATATTCAGTGTAATGTTTATTGCCATATTTACCTTTTAAAGATTACATTAAGCTACATTCGATATGCGACAGAATTACAATAGAAAAACGATATTTTAAAGTTTGAATCATCTAAAATTTAGAAGTTTGAAATCTACTCTGATTTATTGTTTTGGTGTTGTAATGACTTGGTGTGTTAGTTTGCACACGCCCGTTCTACTTTTGTACTTGAGTAAATTTTTCTAAACTTAAACCGCATAGGTGTTAAGGGTAAAATATGCTATGTCAGGTGACCACTTAAAAGAATGACACGTCAAACCGAAGGCAATTATTCCATTTGGTACCGGAAGGAATGACACTCATAAAGAGGTTATAAATACCGTTCGTCCGGTGGCATTAATGAAGAATATTCCACGGCATTGAGTGCACTGCCCGTTACAAAGAAATTGTCATTTATGCTCTCTGTTACACCTCCATCAATCGCCCTCATAATTGACCTTAAAGAAGGGCACGATCCTAAGACCTTGTTCCCTAGATGTAGCTATAAATAGTGAGCTCTATTCTCATTGTAGGAGACACGAATTTTCTGGCAAAACTAATACTAGAATCTATTCAAAGCTCTATACAACTTTATCTTCTTACTTTTTGTTCTTATTACTGTTGCGCCTGGAGGCCTCGTTACCGGAATCTTTATTTCTACTTTTTCGTCCTCATATCAAGGCTAAGTGTTATATATTTCTTTAATTATTTCATTATTTCAGGATCGAATTAATTCACTTGTCTAGAAACCTCGTATAAATTCAATTGTACCGTTTTACGGGTAAACAGTTTGGCGCCCACCATGGGGCCTAGACAGTCGTGTAATTAAGTTGATCCTTGCCTCTTTTACTAACGTGTTTTGATTATTTGTCTTAGAAAGAATCATAAGAAATGGCAGATAACGGTGTAAACAACACACACAATCCTGAAGTTCGAGGAGACCAGCCAAATTTCGAGGATTCAATCAGTGACACCCATAATGAGGGGAACGATGCCACGCCAGTCCACGACAGGCAATACCCGCGATATGTTCGGGAGGCAACTCCCGATAATGCTGAAGAGGAACATGTTGTTGATACGGTAAGCGTCCTACAAGAGCAACGAGCGATCATTCTAGGACACCTTACTTAGGAGGATAAGGTTATGACGGAGTTCAAGCAGGCGTTATCTGGGGCTTCCAATAACACGAATAGGCGAGATCTAGTTATTCCCGGTGCTCCCACAAATCAAACAACACAGAGGGTCGATAACAACACCCCGAGGGGCGAGGTTGGTTCTGATGGAGCTGCGGGGGAGGGGGGTGGATCTGGCCCTAATAACGAAAATGATCCCTTCAAGAATGAACATTTACGGTTTATGAGAGAAGTGAACGCCCGCATGGACCAAATCCCCGGCGCACCACTGGTACTGAAAGGACTAGACTCAAAGAAGTATACTCTGTTGTCGTACAAACCAAGCGCGACACCGGAATTAATCTCGAAATGGTTTAAAATGCCCGACGTGCCAAAGTACGATGGAACTTCAGACCCTCAGGAGCATATTACCACCTATACAACGGCAGTGAAGGGGAAGGATTTAGCTCCCCCCAAGATTGAATCTGTCTTGCTAAAGAAATTTGGAGAGACTCTCACAAGGGGAACCTTGACGTGGTATTCACTGTTACCGAGCATTCCATAGATTCCTCTGAGATGCTCGTGGATTCTTTTATTGAGGCTCATACCGGGGCCAGAAAGGTGCAGGCCAAAAAAAGGCCGACATATTCAGAATTACACAAGGAGAATCCGAGTTGATGCGAGAGTTCGTTACCCGGATCCAAAAAGAGAGGATGTTTCTCCCGGTTGTTCCGGACGAATGGGCAGCTGAAACATTCACCAAGGGACTCAATCCAGAAATTAAGACGCTTCCCGAAAACTGAAGGAAAGCTTGCCGAAAAGCTGAGTTTTTTGGTTCGCCCCCTATGTGGTCGGCCTTCTTACCAGTCTGCCTCCTTTCTCTTGATGGAATATATCAATACCCGAGCTCCAGCTTTGCTTGTGTTCTTCACCGGCACTCGCTAGATGTATCACTCATCCGCTGAACTGGCCAAAAGAAGCAAGCAAAGAGTCTTACTCTTAAGAAAAAGGCTATTCCTATTCTAGAAATCCTGCAAACTATTAATCGAAGTACTTAGCAATCACCGCAGATTGCTTGAGTTCCAAGCAACGACTTGGGCGGATGTCCACAATCGGTACAAGTCAAAGATAAGGATCGAAGATGATCAAGTTGGTTTCCCGTCGTCGACAAAGGGACGGGAGAAGAATAAAGAAGAATCAAAAGACGACTCCGACACGGACAGACGGTCTTCGAGGGGCCAATTTTTGCCCTACGAACGGACCGAAGGCCGCATCAGAGGTTTTCGATCAGCAGATAGATTCGCTACCGACAGACGATCTGATCACGATCGAAACAACAGATCATTGTCGGACAAGGAAGCGTTAGGTACGCGGGATCCTTCCTACCCCAGGCTATCAGAATACAATTTCAATGTCAGCGTAGTAGAGCTGGTATCAGCTATGAGAAACATCAAGAAAGCACGGTTTTCGAAGCCTATGAGATCCGATCCCACCCAGAGGGATCCCAACTTGTGGTGTGAATACCACGGGACGAATGGACACCAGACTGGGGACTGACGACATCTCCAGGAAGAAGTGGTGGCATTGTTGAATAATGTCATCTCAGAGAATTCTTGCGAGACCGAGCTAAAAACAACTATGGTCGCAACCAGGACAACACGGAACCCTCGAAAGCGGGGGAAGATCCCCCTCACCAGACAATCAACATGATCTTCGGGGGGGAACGAGATCAACGAGGTCACCTTCTCGGCAGCAAAAAAGATGAAAGTACCAATAACTCATAGCAAGAGACTCCGGAAAGTTGCCGAAGACTACATCACTTTCAGGGAGGAGGACGCAGACGGATTGGTGCTACCGCACAACGTTGTACAGGTAATTTCTTCAAATGTGCTAGACTTTAAAAATAAATGTGTTCTAGTGGATCTAGGAAGTTCGGTCAATATCATACAACGGAGAGTATTGAAGCAAGCTAAACTCATCGGAAGCATCATTCTGGCCACAAAACTCCTCGCCAGATTCAACCTCGCGAGCTTGACAACCTGATGAGAGATTTTGTTGCCCATGGATGCCAAATGAGTGATGAAAACGACTCTTTTTGAAGTGGTAGATGGTGATATGGGATATAATATTATTTTGGGGAGATCATGGTTACACGAGATGAGAGATGTAGCATCAACGTATCATCAGTTGCTGAAATTCCAAACGCCCGAAGGAATTAAACAGATAAGGGCAACCAACCGGCGGCAAGGAAGATGAATGCGATTTCGGTCTCCAGTAGCAAAGGGAAGGAACACGCGGCATAGCAACTACAGGAACCGGCGCCCGCTCCCGAATCGAATGAAGTTAGCCCGGGGGTAGAAGCGTCGGTATCCTATTAGGTGCTAAGGTATTTCCAGGTACCAGAAGAGATGGATGCAACAAAATCCACGGCGGAAGAGCTCAAACAAGTTGCATTTTTTGAAGAATTCTTAGAAAGGAAATTCCACTTGGGGACAGGACTGCACCCCGAGCTCAGGTCTGGCTTTACTAAATTTCTTAAATCTAATGCCGATTTTTTTGCGTGGTCGCATGCGGATATGACAGGTATCTCAACGAAGGTAGCCGTACACAAGTTAAGTTTGGATCCCAACATACCTCCGATAAGACAAACGAAACGCCTTATTGCGGAGGCCAGGAATAAATTCGTCAAAGAAGAGGTAACTCGCTTACTTGATATCGGTTCGATCGGAGAGGTAAAGTATCCGGACTAGCTAGCTAATGTAGTCGTAGTTCCTAGGAAGAACAATAAATTTTGAATGTGCATAGATTATAAGGACTTGAATAAGGCATGCCCGAAAGACTCGTTCCCACTGCCAAACATCGATCAAATGATCGATGCGACGGTCGGGCACGAGTTAATGAGTTTTCTGGATGCGTATTCCGAGTACAACAAAATTAAGATGAACTCGGAGGATCAGGAAAACACTTCGTTCGTAACGAATTTCGGCACATATTGCTATAACGTGATGCCCTTCGGGTAACCCTGAGCCACTTATCAGCGGCTCGTAAACAAGATGTTTGAAAAGCAAATAGGGAAAACTATGGAAGTTTATATAGACGATATGATCGTTAAGTCTTTGAATGCAGGTGATCACTTTAAGCATCTGCAAGAAACTTTTGACATCCTAAGGAAGCATAACATGAAACTTAACCCCGAGAAATGCACGTTCGGGGTCAGCTCTGACAAGTTCCTAGGATTTATGGTATCACAAAGGGGGATTGAGGTAAACCCCGGAGATCAAGGCCATCGAAGACATCCCGAACCAGCTGTCAAGCGTGAAAGAGGTCCAAAGGCTCACGGGGAGATTGGCAACTTTGAGCAGGTTCATTTTCGGTCATCAGAAAAATGTCACAGTTTCTTCGCACTGCTAAAAAAGAAAAACAACTTCGAATGGACCCCGGAGTTCCATCAGGCTTTGAGAGATTTGAAAATATACTTGTCAAGCCCTCTATTACTTTTGAAACCAAAGAAAGGTGAAACACTGTTAGTCTACCTAGCAGTCTCGGAAGTAGCGGTAAGTGCAGTTTTAGTCCGTGAGGACGAAGGTACGCAATCTCCCATTTATTACGTTAGTAAAATTTTAACGGAAGGAGAAACTCGCTACCCACATTTGGAGAAACTGGCCTTAGCTCTCGTAGTCGCCGCTCGGAAGCTGAGGCCCTACTTCTAGTGTCACCCGATAGGT